GGCTCAGCCACCCACTGTCCAAGCACACAAGCATCCCTCAGCCCTTCAGTAGGAGCAGAGCGCCACCCTCCTCCTCATCACAGGAGATGGCTAGGTGAAGCCAAAGCCAAGAAAATTAGTTTCCTTTTCTAACTGTATGTTGTAATTGAGCATATTGATCAATAGTCAGCAATTGCTCCATTTCTTTCATATTTTTTGAGAAAGCTTTGCTCATGGACATGGTACCGTTTGGCCATGGAGACATTTAATCAAAATTAATTAAATTAAACTGGGTGAACCATTTCATAGCAGTAAGATCACCTCTAATTTGAGCTGTCCTACACTAACTTGGCATATGAAGGGCTGGATTTATGCTTCTGTTCATAAACTTTGCTCTCTCCAGTGGCACTATTTATACAGGTGGAAGGCAGGATTCTAAGAAAGCTTTAGACTGATAGTGACTTTGTGCCCTTAAAGTGTCTCTTCAGGCTCATTTCTCTCAGATTCAAACCATTCTTCTTAAAACCATTCTTTAAATAAAAACTGTTACAGGCATGCAGCTCATGGTCTAGTTCTACTATCTGAGCAATTAAAAACTATTGCATTTATTTTTTTATGGGAAAATTTAGACACAATGACAAAAACTTACCAAATCCAAAGCCCTGTCATCCTCTTATGATTTGTATCTGAAACTCCTCTGCTTTGTTTTCCCAAGGGAAATTCTGCTCTCTCTCTACATGAGGTTTTCTCCAATAATTTTACCAGTCTCTGCCTGGGTTTACTTTGTGCAAAAGCTGGCCTCTCTGACCTGCTCTGTTCCTCCAGTGCCTGACTGAAATCCTACAGAAAAGGCTTTTATGTGCTCTTGCCAAGGGAAAGGAAGCAGGGTACTTAGCTGGATGAGATAAGCTGGATGACTCCACTGCAGAGCCCATGGGTGATATCACAGGACAATTCTTTTAAAATAGGTCACCTCTTGCCCTGCATAGCTGCTCCAAGTGCATTAACATTATCCAGTGGGAGAAGAGAGGCAGATTATTTTTGATCTTACTCTAAAATGACCATAAGGCTTCCCCCAGTCTGGTGATGCAGTTTGCACAACAGTGGAGGTTCACAGAAAAAGTGATCAGCACTGTCAGGTGGTTGCCATCCTGGCTATATCCGGCATCCTTCCACTTGGTTCATTTCTGACCTCATATAATTACGCCTTTGGGGCAGCTCAGATTATTACATCAACTTGCCTGGGTGGATGTGCTAATAAACATTAAACAATGCTCTGCTTACAAAACCATTGGGGAGACAAATCCCTTGATGTTTCTCCCTCCATATTTCAGCAATATATCCCTGCCAAATCTTGCCACAAATGGGTGAGATTTTGCCCTGGTTGAAGACTGAAGCTTAGAGCTGTAATGCTGAAATGGGCTCTATGCAGGTAGATGGACTTTCAGAAGTGTCTCTCCTTACAGAAACAAGCCTTCATTCCAGAAAGTCTGTGTACATATCTGGACTGATGGAAATATTCTTTAGACGGAAACTTTCCTTGATATACTGGACCTTTTATCTTCGTGAGAACACTGACTGAAGCCTGAAACCCTGTTTATTTTGCCAGGTGCTACTGCAGTCTAAGGGAAGGGATACATTTGCCTCAGATATTATTTACCTGGTGCAGGAGAAAGTCCTCCACTGCTTTTTCCTCAGCACAGGTGTAAAAAAACTTCTAAACAAAGTGCCAAACTTATTTGTACGTACCTAGATTTCCCAGTGACTTGGGTATGTGCAAATCTGTTCTCAGCTCTTCATGTGATTTCTATTATATAATTTTAAACCAAAAACTGTCCAAGAAATTACTTGAGTAATTAGATTCCTCTTAACTAATTAGAGCAGCCAAGAATAAACTGGAAGAATTACATATGTTCAGATTGGGAATATAATACAGCTGTATTTTTTCTGTGGGCAAAAAGTTACTCTCTGTGAGGGAGGAAAATGGAGCATCATTTAAAAGTCTCCTACCTTCCCAGCCCCCAAAAGAGAGCAATCCTGTAGGGACAAATTATCTGCTGAGAGCTTTTCTTATGTTTCATATAAAAGAGAAATAGCTGATCACTTGAATTCACGTTCTCCGTTATATAATTGCTTAGTTATAAACATTATAAGGAAAACTCTAATTCTGTGTCACTGTGATTTTTTTGTGGGCAGAATCCTGACTGCACAGTAGTTCTATGGGAACTAAACGATATTAAAAACCCAGGGATTTAATTTTTCTTCTGTGAATTGTAAATGGATTTGAGAAGGATGAAAAGGTGGGAGATATGTGGCTTGTTTGACTTCTGTAGGTGGATATGTCTGATTTGCAGCAGCTAACAGATTGTGTTCTTTCTTACCTTGTATCTTCCATTCTCATAATAAATTTTATTGTCTCAGAGATTTTCTACATGAAATCTCTTGGTGCCAGAACTGACCTGTTGTAGTGAGAGCATCAGTTCCTACATGCATTTACTTTCTCAGAGATGCTTTCTTATTAAGTCTGTTTCAAGAACACACTTTCATGAATTTACTTAGACTGCTTTCAAAGCACTATAAGTTACACTGGAAATATGCTATATTTTCAAGGAAAAATGTTCACACAGTTATCCTCTCTTAGACCAATATGGTTCTAAGTGTTTCCCCAGGCAAAGAGCTCTTGACTGAGCTCCAGCCCACTCTGCACTCCAGCTCTGCTCTCTGACATCACTGAATTTTCCCTTTTAATTCTGCTATAACTCCACTGTCCCAGTCTCTCAGTACTACCTCAGCTGCACACAAGCACTTCTATCTTCCCTCTGTTCCTTCTGTGTATCCCTTGCTTTTTTTTCCCTCCTCTTCTATAGAAATAATGCTTATTTTCTACTCTCTGCCTCAGCCTATGGCACTCAGTGGTCCCAGCTTCCACTGTTCCCTTCCTTTGTCTCCTTAAAAATCTATACTCTCTATTGAGTCTTTTCTGTCAAAATAGCTATTAAAAATAAGCATGCAGTGATCTTTCTGTCCTCAAAAATGAATGTATGTGAAAATGTCTCATTGATCAAACTGCATCTCCAACTAGCTCTGCCTTTCCGTTCATCTCACAGCTCACTTGAAATACTTTATGTTCTCAAGTCCGTCTCTTTTGCTCCATTAGGTTCATTTCTGACCTCTGTTTTCTGGATTTGAAAATGTCTGTGTCATTTTTTTCTAAGTAATTATTACATTTCCATGTTGTTGGATTCTATTCATTGGCACTATTTGCTCTGCAATATGAATGGATATGAATGCGTTCTCTAGCTTCATACAGAACCAGCTATTGTTCCCAAAGTTGCCTCTCATATAAGGGCTGCTGGTGAAAGTCTGGAAGTTTTCCAGTTCTGGTAGGTTTAATAACACCCCACTAAAAACTCTAGAAGTGGAAACCCAAGGGTTTGGAGTTGTGCACGTGCTTAGGAACAAGACCTGAAACCCAACAAAGCTGCTGATTGCAGTTTTTGCTCCTTAGGCAAGCCTCATCTTGGGTTTACAAAACATATTTTTAATCTGGACAAGTTTAGAGTTTCAGGAAAGAATGGGAGATAACTTACTTTTCATTGTTCTCTCCTGAAAGTTCCTGATTTATTAAAATTTCAACCTCCAAACTAAATTCAGGATCCTGAAGTCAAGGAAGATATTAGTCACTTTACCAAAGATCCTGCAAATGTCAATGACAGGAACTGGCCTCGTGATTATCCTGTGTAATTCTGTATCTGTGGGACCATGCTTTAGTAATCAGCACAGTTTTCAACCACCCTTTTTTAACCTTGAGTGTAAATATAAATATCTTTCATACAAAGGTAATGGAAAATATGCACATTTAAAATTGCAGTAAGTCAGTTAATGTTTATAAGATGCACAGATACAATGGTAAAGAATACAGCAGAATATGCAATCAGTCTGCCTGGACTGGCTCTTCCCCTCACACACAGCACACCACAAGAGCCAGTATCTAGAGTAAGCTAGAGAAATGACATTATGTAGACCTAATTCTTCCCTTAGACCTACATTTACAGACCTGCCATGCTTCAGTGGAAATTGCAGTGGTATCTTCAAGTGGAAAATTTTATAAGGGGCACTGGTACAGTGACAAATTGATGTCTCTGTTCTTAATGGTGTTTTATTTTAGTACCATGCATCAAAGTTCCTGTGATCTTCATCAAATATTTGGGAAATCATCAGCAGAACACAGCCACTTTCTGACCAGTAACAGCATCAGGAGAACAATAGAAAAATAATTTAATCTAATGCACAAACTGGTTAAGGACAATGATTAGGAAGATCCTTGACACTCCTCTGCTTCATACAACTTAGCTTAGGTGTTCAGACAGTTTTTCAGAGATGCTTGTTCTACTAGAATTCTCTAGTATTGATAGTTTCTGTCATGCCTATAGCAAAAGAAGGCAACAAAACCAAGCACCACCAGGAACTATTCCAGTTATTTCAGGCAATAAACCAGACATGTAATGAAACTTTTAAGATTAAAGATTAGACTTTGTTAAACTTTGGTTTGCTAATTTCACATATTACTGCCAGATGCTCCTCAGTACCAGTATTGGTATGTTAATAACTTAACTGAGGTGGTGCCCATATTGATAATTATTTGAGTGCAGTAGAACCCTTAGTGAGTTTGCTGCACACTATTAGGCAATGAAGCGTTTTCTGAGCATAGAAGGAAGTGCAGTCCCTGGGTAAAGCAGCCACATATCCCGACTGCCACCACTGAGCACAGAGTCCTGCTGTGAGCTTGGCCAAAGGACCTCCTGCTAAAGGCAATCCATCACCTGCTGGTAATTCACAGACAAATATTGGGAGTCATAGGGCCTCCAGTTTTCTGAGACACACAAAAGAGACAAAAACTCTGCAAGTCAAAAGGGTGATTTCTTATTTACAATAGTGCTGTACAGTTCAGGGCAGAGCTGCAATGGCTGAGAGGTGCTTTTTTACTAACTGTTCTCTTTCTGTATCTTTTCCTATACCAGAGAAAGATGAGAAGAGAACAAACATCTCACAGGCAGAGGTAAGTGAAAGATCTTTTTAAACTGTTTTTTTTTAGTTAAAATATTGATATAACCTCTTTGAAAGTCACTGGTTAATCCTAATTAATGGTTTTTTTACATTGTCTGGCCATGTTCAGTAACACAGCCTTTTAAGGCCTGTCACTTTCAGAGCTGTGTAAAGCTGTGTTGCATCTCAGCTCTGCCAACTCTACCTTCCTCCTGTTGCAGGGAACTGGGAAAGGCAGGTTTCCCCTCCGCCTTGCTGCCATGACCTGGCAAATCATAGCAAATCTGACCCAAGATGACCACATCAGGTCATCTCACACAGCATTGCTTTGGGTCTGCAGATCACTACTGCTCTACAAAAGCATTGCAAACTCCTGTTCCCTCACCATTTGCCAAGCCCACAGCAGGCAGCACATTAATGTTGTTTGCAGAAGAGTTAAAAATCAGATCCTCTGATCTTGTTTTCCATCCTCCCCTTATGCTCCTGCAATTCCCTGATCTCTTTCTCCTTCCTGTTGCAGGGAACTGGGAAAGGCAGGTTTCCCCTCCGCCTTGCTGCCATGACCTGGCAAATCATAGCAAATCTGACCCAAGATGACCACATCAGGTCATCTCACACAGCATTGCTTTGGGTCTGCAGATCACTACTGCTCTACAAAAGCATTGCAAACTCCTGTTCCCTCACCATTTGCCAAGCCCACAGCAGGCAGCACATTAATGTTGTTTGCAGAAGAGTTAAAAATCAGATCCTCTGATCTTGTTTTCCATCCTCCCCTTATGCTCCTGCAATTCCCTGATCTCTTTCTCCTTCACCCATTGCTCAGAGAAGTAGGCTGCACTTAAAATAGCAGTAGGAGGTATTGATTGGTTCAGATTTGGACTCAAATACAGACTTACAAAGATTTCCTGGGGTGAGGTTCAACAACCTATCCCACAGTGTTTATAAATGGCTTTCTCTTTCAAAAGAAGACAATATTTTATTTATAAATGTTATCATTCCACCATTGTGATAAAGGAAGGTAATAGGATTGGCCATACTTGTGTGAAAGTGGTTTTCTTAAGAGCTATATCAAATGTTCCTTGAAGAAATAGATCTGATTAAAATTCACATACTATAAACCAGTCAAAGTACTCAGGGACAAAGGAATTTTTAGAAAGTATTTGGAAAAAAGTAACATTGTTATGACCAGAAGCTTGCCCACACACGGCATTTTTCTAACATTTGTCTTAGGAATGTGAGATGGTGCTTATATCTCCAAAAGTTGTGTGTGACCTTACGTAGTTTTATTATTCTGGACATAATTCATGTTGATGTAATGTGGAAACCAATTTAACTGCTTTCATTTTGCAGAAGTTGTTCTGCTTTAGCACCAGAATGTGTTCCAGTTAGTTGTTACTAACTATACCTTGGTATAATTATACTAATATTTGTGTGTAATTTTACTGCCATTATTTTGGAATAATTTCTCTTTTGTGCATAGATGTGATTTTAGAGCTATGAAAAGTTTAACTGTATCTAAATATATCGCTAAATCAAGCCCAGCTGAGTGATTAGTTACTGAAATTATTATTTCAGAAGTAATAGAACTCATTGAAAAAGTGCAGCAGGCTCTGCATTTTTATTAAAAATGTATATATTGATAATTTCAGTACTACCGTACTTATATATAATCATTCAATACACTGTACTTAATTGAAATACTGAATCTGAGTATTGTTTCAATTGAAAAATTGATATTGGTTAATGTAATTCTTGGAAATATTTTAATATATGTAAACATTTATTCACCTTACAAGAATCAGTTACATAGACTGTTAAAAGCATAGGCTGGCTTAGTTTTATGCTTAACAATGTTTTCTTAAATGGAAGGGTAATCTTCAGTAGCACTTGGTCTGTTTTGCCTGGGAACCATAATCTTTGCCCATGACACACATATTTTGTCTATCTAGTCTTAGTTTTCCCTGTATTCATGAAAGCTCAGGAGCTGGCATCAGATTTATACAACATAATTTTCTTAGAAATTTCTCAGATTGGTGTGTGCACCCTCTGAAAGCAGCTGTGGGGCAAGACTCAGAGCTGCTATGAATAGAACAGTCTCCCCATGCTTGTCTCTTACTGCTTCTCTCTGTTTTGTGCCTCCCCAGTCCCAGAGCGCCTCTCCCAAGCAAAGGAAGCAGAGCGTCTTCACCCCACCCGCCCTCAAAGGTACTGTGCAGGTACTGTCTCCGGGGCAGGGCTCCCCCTGCGCCCTGCCTCTGTGACTTCTTTCGCCGAGGAGACATTGGGCAGGAGCAATGGCTCTCTGCCCACCAGCTGCACAGCTGGACGGGGTCACACTTTGCCATCTCTTCTTTCACACTTTAAAGTGACTCTCTGGCATTGACCATCTATCTGGTATCCTCACCACAGGATCTTGCAGCAGTGGCAAATTTATTATTCTTATAAAAGCTGCCTTTTTGCAAACCTCAATATTTTCATTAGTTTGAGATAACAGATAAGTCCACCTCAAGCACTGAAGATAAGTCCTTTAATACATATGCTTTAGCAGTGCTGGCCCTACACAGCTCTGTTTCTCATTTACACCACTCCTGTACATACTGCCTCCCTTTCCAGCCAAAATTAAGGGCTTGGTATCTGATCATATGAAGTGTGAAGCCTTTCTTGTGAAGATGAAGGGAAATGAGAAATCTCAGTAAATTTTTGAAGGGCTTATGTGCTTTTCAGGAACGAGCCTAAAAGCAGTAGGAATATTAGCTAGGATCAAAGCAGCTACATTTAGGCCTTGTTTCCCAAATCACTCTGAACAGAATTTGGCTTGATGGTGCTTGCAGTGATGCAAGATCTAGAATGTTTCACCAGCACTTCAGACTGACACTTGACAGTACAGGATTATTTTCAGACCGCAGAGCAGAGGATATAGTGCCAGGTATCTCTTGATAGGTAACAAATATTCTCAGTTTCTATTCCTTATGCTTAACACAATTTATTACTTTGCAAAAAAGGTGGGGTATCTACTTTGTTGTGTGAAAGACAGCAGCTATCAATACCCTATCAGCCAGTTATATATATCTCATGTGGCAGCTTCAGTTCTCTGGCACTCAGGTGCCACACGAAACTTGCTATCTGTTTGTCAAAATGGGCTAAAGTGTGTGTACTTGATATTGGAAAAAAAAATCTTACTATAGTCAATCATAATAATTTGTGGAAGGAAGAAGCTTTGCATGGGTAGTAAAAATACCTAGTGATAGCATGGCTGTATTATTTTGCTGTGCAAGCTAAAATTAAATACCATGTGCATGAAGTGCTCGGTGAAACAGGTACTTAAATAGAACCAGCAGCCTGCTCAGAGTTACCTCTAATACACTGCTGGGTACCTAGCATAGTTAGCTTCTACATCAACTGCATCCTAGGGAACAGCAGGAAAGTAAGTCATTCAAGGTAGCTCACAACTAACCTGAAATACATTGTAAACAGAACAAAGCAAAGCACAAAGTGCATCTCAATACTATACACCCTAAACTGCCACAAAAGCTACCCTTCTTATTTAAAAATTTTACTTTACATAGAAAATTGGCTGTTCCTTCCCCTTCATTGTTATGAAAACATGAATGTTATTTCGTTTAGACTAAGAGGTAGGTGGCAAATATGTAGCAATGTGAAATACACAATGTTATGAAAGCATTCCAGAGAAATACAGAGTTTTTGAATTTATTCTAGTTTTGTAGCAGTTGAAAATAGCAACGTACATTGGGATTTTCAGAATATCAGGCTTAGTAATTACACACTATTGCCACAGCTTTGCATATGTTTATCCTCCAATATAGTCGAAATATGGTCTTCAATATACTGTAAAGAAGGAGATTCTGCATGCTGAACCTCCCTTCTTTATACCCCTTGGCTGCTCTGTTTTCTCCGGGACTGTTATTATCAGCAGGTGGGATAGACTGTAGTCCAGTATCTTAGTTTCAAAAATGGAGATACTACATCTCCATAAAACAGAACTTGGAGTAAAAAAGAGTGTCAGACCTTTTCAGATATTACATTTCTCAGTAGTTTTTAGCTGCTGTTAATCCAAAGTTCCCAGGAACAAGCCAAGCTTGCAGGTGAGTGCAGAGCCTGAAAGCCAAGACAGCATCTGCATGCCGAGAGCTGTGGGAGGAAGGAGGGGCCATGGCATGAGCAGCAGAGAGGTGGTCAAGAGAAGTGGAGAGAGTCATGCTTCAGCCTAACTCCAAATCTCCAAGTAGGTCTTGAGATTATTATCTCTTCTTTGAACTGAAAACATTTTTGCTGTGCTTCTTGCAAATCCTTGAAATGGTTATCAGTGTGTGAGAGAAGAGTTGCTGGTTTCATGAGTTCATGGCTAAGCAAGAGAGAGAAAGCAAGTGTAAATGAATCTGCATGTTGTGATTACAAACAAAGTAGGAGGCTTTTAACATAGTTAAAAGAGCAAAGGCAACATCAGGCAATAGTGACAATTAGTTACAGTACCTGGACTGTAGTACATGTTCCATGAAATATGCAAATACATTAAAATATCTGAAAGAAATGAAAATGCAGTATTGCTGATGTTCTACAAGTCATGGCATATATATGGAAATCAGCTTCTTAGTTAAATGTGGGCATATTTTTACCCTGGGCCATAGCAGTCACCTCAGCTGAAAGACAATGTTACAATCTGTCTAAGATCACTCCTGAGTATTTTGGTTCCACCCTTCGAAGGGCTTTCTCCAGCTGGAGGCAGGTCTATAGCTGCAGCAGCAAGCTGTAGCAAGCCCATGGGGCTGCAGAGCCAGTGTCATACCGTGGTGCAACAGGCAGGATCTTATTTCTAAATATTTGTGTGTACTTTGGCTCCTGCTTTTATTTTCCTGAACAGAACTGCACCAGAATTCCTACAGATGAACCAAATAGCTGACTCATCTCAGACCATTGTTCTTTTTACTGGAATACAGTGTGCTGGAAAAATCAATGTGAGCACTATTGATTTAAGCGGTAATCTGGAGAGCAAATCAGACAGCAAACCAGATAACTCTTCAGTGCAGTGTTCTTGTTAATATTATATTACCAAGCCTAATGGATGTCAAAGTTTTCCATTTTGCTTTCAAAGGTATTTCTCCTAAACCTGCTGCGCTGGTGTTTGTTAACTCCATGCTCTTATGCAGCATGCAATGTTGGCAGAAGTCAGTATCTGAAACTTGCACCAAATCAATCCATCATATTTTCTGTATGCTGTGATTTACCTCTTGTCACATTTTTTCCTTGGCATAGCAGCAGTCTTAGCCGAGGATTTCCCACTTTCTCCCCCCCTCCCCTTTTCTTTTTTTCTTTGCTGTTTTCTTCTATTACTCTTGGGCTTTCATGTCTGAACTTGCAATTCTCTCATCCTCTTGTAACTTCCAATGGTCTAATATGCTAATCTTGAATCTACATCAGTTTCTTTAATTTCAAGCTCTTCTTCATGTGCTAAGGTTGGCTTGAAACTCCCTATGAAAACACCATAAAAACATGAGGAAGGTTTCTCAAATTGAAGAGTCACCACTTTTACTTAGGGCAGTGTTTCCCAGGCAATTCTCATTCTGTAAGGCCTATCTCCTATTTACTAATCTGCTTCTTCTTCTGTACAACAGAACCAAGAAGAATCATTTGATCCTTTTCCGCTATATCAAAGTAGACATCCAGCTGTTTTGGCACCAGTATCCATTTGTCTGTCCATCCATCCACAAAGAGCATCTTTAGAGATACCTTGATGATTCTGGTCAGAGGATTAGAGAAGCCCCTGGAATTCTTGCTGGATTCTCCAACTTTTTGCCTCACACTCACCAGAGAACTCTAAAATGGGATGATAACTCTCCCAGGTATTGACAGATCAGGTAGAAGGCAGCTTAACCTGCCAAGGCAGATGCACATTTCACTTATCCAAGGTAGCGGTACTTTGGCATCTCATTACCACATGGAAATCAAAAGAGCACATATGAGTCTCAGAGCTAAAACTGCAACTTTCCATCCCAAGATAAACTTTCTACAGAGGTAGGTTTCCTTTTACCTAGATAGTCACATTTTGTCTCAGCTCATCCTTGAAAGGAAACACAGATTGAAATGTCAGGAAACAAGGTTTACAAAGACAAACAGCAGAGAGCAGGAGCTGTTCCCAAACCTGCCTTGCTCCCTAGAGCTCCCAAGTCGCCACATTATCCACCAGCTAGTGCTATTAATACCAACAGCTATTTAAATACTATCAAGGTCTCCCCCTGTAAAGGAAGTGCATAATCCTGAGTGGTTTGAGGATGTCTTTAACAGTGAGTCTACCAGTGTGGGTGTGCTAGAGGTCAGGGAACTAGGAAACTTCCGCTCATCCTAGTTCACCCTGCAGGAGGCTATTTAGATCAGCATCAAGATTCCAATAATTTCACCATGCTTTAAAGACGTTCTTGCAGTTTTCTGTGTTTACTGGGCAACCTTTGCAATGAGCTGCCAACAAATCATAATTAAGTCTTTCCCCACAGAGTTAAAAGGTATGTTTGACTGTTTTCCCTCTCAGCCTTTGGGAAATACAGCCTTTAAATTACCCTCTTAATGTATTTTTCTTCACATAGAAACAAAGACTTCTTCTTGAGCTAGGCTCCAGCTACATTTGAAATGGGATTACATCTGAGTTGTTATAAATCTAAGGACTGTTCAAAGACATCCTTTTAGTTTAATGCATTAAAACAACCAGGACTCACTGGCTGTTCCCAAAGTGTTCAAACCCAGGGATTTGATACATGCATAATTCTAGTATTTACAATAATGGTTGATATTAAATGAGCTCTTTCTAGCTTCTGCCATGATTTTCAGATGCTTGGCTTGTTTAGTGCCTGCTTGTTCTTCTCTCCAAAGGAAACAACATGCAGAATAAATGATTAAAATCATGATGTCCCTCCTGAAATACGTAATTTATTAGAAGCAATTAGTACAGTATGTGGCCCTCATCCAAATTTGTAACCCCTTAGGCCAGCTTGATGCTGTCTGATGCATCTCATTACTTTGTGACTGAAAGTTAACAAGGAACACAGAGAGAGTCTGGAGATGTAAAGGATTATTTTTTGTGTGGTAAGCAGTGAGTTTGGAGCCCATGAGAATCATTGTGGAACAAAAATCTCAGGCTAAATTTGCTTCAAGTGGCGGAGGAATGAATTTTGTAAGTCTTAAGCAGTGACTAAGAA